CTTGGCGGAGGTAATTAGCGGATGAGAAGATTCACAGCTAGGAAAATCCAATCGAGATTTGGAAAGCCGGCAAAGATTAAACCCCCGAGAAGGCGCAGACGCCCACTTTGAAGTCTCGCCTCCCGTTAACACAATCAACGTGCTCTCCTGACCGCAGCAGGCGATTCCATTGAAAGGCGAATCTGTCTAGACTTGATGAGGCCACGCTTGAGAAACAAGGACAAGAGGATTCCCCGTCTCGCATTGTCTTCTTTCCCCATTAGAAAGACAAGTCTGATGTGTTCCTGAAACGTCCGGCCCCGAAAAAATTGAAATGCCAATGCTATTTAACGATTGACTGCTTGGGGGGAGTTCACATGAATCGGCGAACTTTGGGACTGAAAACACGATCATGCTCTGGCGTGGGTAACCTGCAGTGGCGTGCTAAAAAAACAAAACAAAACAAAACTAAAAATGTGCAAACTGTGATTTCACTTGGGAGGTTTCAACGCCCTGCGACAACCTGCTCAAGTCTTTGGGCAGAGGTCAACGGGCACAATGGAAATAAGTCGCCTTCCGTGAGACAATGAAGCGGATAAAGCGCCAAACAGGCTGCAGTCAATGATCAACCAGGGCGCACCAACCGGTGCTCTTCTTCCCTCTTGTTTTTTTGTTTTTTTTCAAAACAAGTTCTGCAGCGAGCGCCTTTTCAAATCCAGGTGACGTGTTATCGTAACAATGAAGACCCCTTGTATTCTATTCTATCCTATACCAATCATTAATTAAAATGCAGCATACTTAGGGCTGGGCGTTCATTAATTCGGATATTTGCTGATTTTTGGGGGTATTGTATTTTCAGCCTTACATATGGATCGATATTCTTGGATTTCTTGGACGTGGTACTCTAAAAGTTCTGTGAAGTGCTTCGTTAGAGCTGCAGCGGTTGTGAAAGCGCGATATAAATAAAGCTGTATTGTCTTGAATTGTATTCCCTTTAGCGGAGCTCCATCTAGTGGATGCATAATGCAACATCAGCCTCTATCGTAGCTTCTATTCTATGCCCCTTATAATATGAGGCGCCATTTATATGAAAACAGTTTTAACGGAGGCCATTCATCAAAGGCGCGCTTTATACTCCGAAGCACCCAATAGGGCAGATATATCTCAAGAGCACAGTATTGAATGAAAACATCGTAAAAAATATCAATACAAATCAAGTTTGTTTCTTTCCAAAATGTTATTTGTTATTTCCTGTGTGGAATGTGTCCCTTTAAGGGGCATGGCCTAGTGAGTGACATCATGAGCTGGAATGGGGTTGGCTGGTTTGTCTGCGTGTGAGCGTCCAGGTGCGAGTGTTCACATTTCGGATTTTTATCTTTGACTATTTGTCCTGTTTAATAATTTTTTTAAAGTACATGTACGACTGTGGCTCTCCTTGCCCACATGCAAGGGCATTACAGTGCTGTAGCTGAAGCTCATGAATACCTCAAACCTCTGCCTTCAAAAAGTGAGTAGTATGACTTTTTTTTTTTTTTTTTAAACTTGTAATGATGCTTTGGTGACAAATGCATCACGAAACTTCTGCAAGACTACATTCTGAATGTTTTGGAACCCCACAAAAACATAATAATAATAATAATAAATAAAAATAATAGCGCAATTCACCCCCGCGGCTTCAAAATATATTAAAAGCAGAACACAAACTCCCATTTAGTGATTTTCTCAAGCCGTTCCACATCCCGGCGCTACCTCGGCTGGACCGCACAAGCACATAAACTGCAATTACACGGGGCCAAGGGCTCCCGGGGGGGACGTGGCGGGAGAAATTAGCAGCCAAAGGGCCATTAACCAAGCAACCGGGCGACCTGAACACGCCACCAGGGGATGTGGAACCACACTCGGCGGGGCCCCTCCACACTGCATACTCCTTTCCTTTGCGCTCTTTTAGTTCGTCTTTGCCCAAAAAGGCTCCAAAAAGCCTATAAAGTTAATAAAGCTCTTCTTGGGCGGGCCTGGCATTTCAAGCCAGGAGCCAGTAACACGTCGACTGGTTTTATGTGCCAAGAAAGGTGAGCGCAGCATGAAATTACAACTACCGTCCATTCTTCATCGCTTCCCCCTTTGCAATAAACGCAACGTTGCGTTTCATTTTTGGATCACGACAGTTTGTGCAAAGATTATAGCCACCGTCACCTGAGAGGTAGCCAGAGATTCTTGCGCGAAAGTACACAGAGTACCCGGAGAAAACCCACGGAGGCCCGAGGAGAACATGCAAACTCCACACGGGAAGGCCGGAGCCAGGATCGAACCCACGACCTCTGCACTGTGAGGCCGACGCGCTAACCACTTACTCACCAGGCTGCCAGTGCAAGTTATCGAGACCACAATTGTAATTGAGATGAAAAAAATTGACACTTTGGCCACAATTTGAACATTTTCACTTCGGAGTCAATTCGCATTTGTTGCAAGCGGGTAAGACATGAGTGGCCGTGTTTGGAGTTAGTTTGAGAAGATGCACACTTCCTACTTTAGATTGCATGACAGGGTCATTTGTTTAGTGTTGCGCCATGAATAGATAGAATATTTACAAAAACCGTGAGGGGTGCACTCACTTTTGTTAGCTATTTACTAGATGTTCGAGTTGTCAAGAGTTCAATTCTCATGTTTGGGTATTAACAACAACAAAAAAAAGTAATTGCTGCTCTTTTGAAACTCGTGAGCAGGTTTTCACAGCAAGCCACAGAGCTTCAGGTCATGTTTGTGTCCGCTTCCCCTAAGGCAAAAGCGCATGCATGCGTGTGATGATGTCATCTGAGGTCAGCTGAGTACGTGCAAGCGTAACAGGGGTTGTTGCACCTGGATGTACGCAGGTGGTGACCACCAAACACTGGCTGTGGAGGCTGTTAAACCAGGAAAGAATGGCTGTTGTTTGTCTTTGTTTTTGTGAAGGAGGTGCCATGTAAAGAAAGGCAGGAGGAATGTGACTCTCCGGAGAAGAAATGCTCCGATCCAAATTAGGGGTGCCATCCCCTCCAAAAGATAAAGTGAGAGCCTTTAGCATTTTAATATTACAAGGATGCAGCACTTCGATTGAATTCACATGTTAGCAAGTTTAAAAACAAAAGAAAAAAAAATTGCAAAACATTGACAGAAAGTATGCTTGACGTAAGCCACATTTCACAAGACCTCAAGTTAGCAGTGCAGTACAGAGGAAACACCTGCTAACAAATACAAATTGTCACTAGGGATGGGCGAGTACTGATATCAGGTCATCATCAGGCCAATACCTTATTTTAAGGTATTGAGTACTCTTGAGGGCTGCCGATACCAAGCCACTGATACTTTAGCGAAAAAATCTAATCTGACATTGAGTAAGTCCTCCTCCGCAGTAGGTGGCGCAATGCTGCGGCAGATTGACACATTCGCTAATCATCATCTGTGTAGCTTTTCATCATGTCATCGAAATTTTATATATCAAAAGTACTAAAGGTACTGATAATCAGTATTGGTGAGTAGAAGAAAGAGTGACTACTCTGTACTGGCATCAGAATGGAAAAAAAATAAAAAGCGGCATTAAACATCTCTAAATGTGTCTGTCAAATACTGATGCTAATTCAATTTTCTACAGTGTATGATGGCCTTCAGGGGACCAAAAAGAGCAAAGCTGTCTGTTGTAAAACTTATGACTTCTCAACATTCAGCTTCGGGCTTCAACTGTCATATTCATATCGTCGGCACTGAATAACAAGTGGTGTCCCGTGGCCACGAAAGGAAGGAAAAAAAATGCGAATAAAACAACATTGGGAAATGTATGACTTCTCAGTATGCACAGTTGTGTTTTAACTGTCACATTAATACGGTCATCAGTGAATAACGAGCAGCGTACGGTGCCCTCGAAGATACAAAAGGGCAAAATTTGCCATTGAGCTCTTGTTAGGACTCCTCGATATTCAAATTTCTGTTTCAACTGTCACATTAATATGGTCCGCAGCTTGTAACAAGCGAGTTACGGTGGCCTTTTAGGGCCCAAAAGGGCAAAGCTCTCCATTGTGAAACTTCTTACGGCTGCTGAGCATTTGGAATTGTGTTTCAACTGTCAAATGAATAGAACCAACGGGATAATACAGTCAGACGTGTTATGGTGGTCTTAAATAAAACAAAAGAGGCAAATCTCTCCCAAGTTTAGCTACTTCTCAATATTCACCCGAGCACTTCGATCGTCCAATTTATATATTCAGCAGACAGCAACTCTCAGCAAGCGATATCAAGCGGCCTGGAGGGAACAAAAATGCGTAATTGTAAAACTGAGTGAGTCAGATTTGTGTGTCAACTGTCAAATTTCTATGGTCAGCAGTACATTAAATAGTCTCCATGGGTGTTGAAATGTCAAAAAGGCAAAGAGCGCAATTGTAAACCTTGAGAGATATCAATATGCAAATTGGGCTTCAACTGTCACACGAATTGGTTCACAGTGACGCACGGTTGCCTTTTTACGGCAAAAATCACAAAGCTCTCCAGAGTCAAACTGAGTAGATTGTTGCTGTAACAGATTTACAGTCAGCAGAGAATAACTCGCAGTGCGCACTGTGCAGTGGATTCTGAGCGATCTACATCCTCGTTGTAAAAAAAACGTATGACGGAGTCAAATTTGTGCTTGAACTGACTAAATCATGTGCTGGACAACAAATAGTAATGATGACTAATTGGTTCATTTTAGTCACTTGGCACACCAACCAGGACACCTTGCTTTGCAGACGTGCTTTCTGCTGGCTGCTCACTTGAGTTTGCAGTAAATCCAGGACGTGATGCACACCGTCAGAGCATTTCAGACACGCGGCTAATATTTCGGCGCAACGTTACACCTTGGTCGGCCTATGTGTGGCAGGCAGGGGGGGGGCTCCGTCACCGTGGCGGCCGTCCAAAACCGCTTCGGGACGAGACTGACGGACGCCAAGCCACACGCCAACACAAGCGCACGAACTGCAGCCGTGAACGGGAAGGAAATTGCCAAGGGAACTTACCTTAATGAGCCCCAACCGCTACTTGGTGACAGCTCCCCCAAACTTTTTGGTCTCTCCGCTTCGGACCTGCTTTCTGGAAGCGTCCGCACAAAATAACAATCCAAAAACGCTCGCACCGAAGTCAGCGAGCTTGTTTGCTCAAAACACGTCCACTTGTCAAAAAGTAAGGGGAAAGTGTTCCGATAAACGTGGCGGAGGAGAAGCGAGACCGTCTGAGTCCGTCGGTGAAGGCGAGCGCCTGGTTTGTGGCGACTCACGCGAGGAAGCCGGCCCGCAGCAGGCGCCACCAGGTGCTCATTTACATAACTGCACAGGCTGTGGCCAATCACGGATGAGCGCAAGGTGCCTCATTGGATATTCAAGAGAGGGCCTGGTCCAATGAGAAGCTGCGAGGGGCGGGGCTGCGTGCCTGACAACTTTGGAGTGAAACTTGTGTGTGCGTGCGTGTGTGTGTGTGTGTGTGTGTGTGTGTGTGTGTGTGTGTGTGTGTGAAAAGCCTTTTAAAAGCCTGGCCAAGGAGCTCCGATGGCATGCCTTGTTAACCCTTTGCTCCCAATAATAAACACAAAACAAGAGAATACAACAGAACAGGGCAATATTATTAACAGGCTGATTGTTAATAAGATTTTTAAATTCCATGAAAATGTATTCCACATGAAAGTGAAATGGAAGTTAAGACTGAATAAATGTTTGCACACAGTTCTAAACGATGACATGCAAATGTATTGAACTTAAAAGTTGAATACAACTGAACTGTACTTAACAAACATGGTGGAATGGATTAAAAAAAATGTGAAAGCCGCATAACGCGCAACGTTATTCACTGTTTGAACATTTAATTTGGTAATTATTTGCGCCACTCTTTGAGAAGTACTGGCATTTACTTAGTTTACCTTTACTTATCCGGGTAGGCGATTAAGAACGGTTTCTCATTTGCAATCCCAACATACATTATTTGAACCGTGAACTTTTATGACACAACCCATCACGGCTTACCCCATTTGATGCGATTAATTATCATCATTGTTACTTTTTGTCCCTTTATTTCCTGACATATAAACTCTGCCTTGTCTTTTCGCGTTACAAAGCACCTGGTTCCGGCCATTGAATACATTCCCACTGCTTGTGAAGGAAACTTTATTACCGAGCGTCGATGGCATAACAGCGCAGCATTACGGCCCCTGGGCCATAATGAGTCAAATTGAAGGCGTTTGCAGTAAAGCACAGCAATGCGGCTGCAAAGGCTGAGAGTTGTTGATATGGGACCCCGAGGCAGAAGCAGAGACTGGGAGGAAATTTGCGTTTCAAAAAAAGGGCTGCCCGTGTGTGTGTGTTTACGCCGTTTTGCAGCGAAAGCTTTATCGGCTGCAATTTCCCTATGTGTTGCTACATGCCCGTTTGACTGGGAGGCGGACAAAAGCTTCAGCTGGAAGGGACAATCAAGGTTATTAACCCAGTGGGATCCACCTCGGATTGACGCCGGGATGTTGATATCATGTTTACGGTGCACTCGCGGGCCATGAATGCCTTCAAAAGATGCTCAATGAAATACGAAGCCAAGTTTGTCACACGTTTGGGTCGGGGAGAAAGGATGAATACAGAGTACTTTCACACACCTCAAATGAGTTGGGACCGAGAAATGTCCACACGATCACGCGCCAAAAATATAGTCTGTATATTTTTCATGATACGGTATATTAACAACCGATGGACACTTCTCACCAGGCCCGTCCCTACGGGTGGCCCATTAGGGCCCGTGCACCCCCACTTGATCCTCCAAAAAAATGAACTTGAGTATGACATTTTAATTTTATTTTGTCACAGCAGCTGTTTTTGTGTCATGAAATGCCGATGTCGAGTGGTTGATCCCCAAGACGTTCAAAAAGTGTCAGGAAATAACGGTGATGACATGTCTGTAAAATACATCTCTCTCAATTATCACATGATTGTTCACAAAATATTGCAAAGGGTACGCCCTCGATATCGCATATTTTTACCAAGTGAGGGGGCGGGGAGTTTAATTGAAGGTAATATCATGACATAACGCGGCAACATGCACGAGATTACCGTATAAATTAAGACCTCTTTCTGGCCTCATTCTCTCCGTGCGTCGTTTACATTCTGACACTTTGATGAAAAGCAATCAAATATTCAACTCTCAAGTGTTCAGAATGTTTGGCCTTGATAATGTGTCCTGCTTTTTTTTCCCCCAAAACTTTCAGTCAAGATAAAAGATGCAATTAAAAATCTTTGCGGAGGATTGGTGTTTCTGTATATGTTATCTTACACGCAGGAAAGGGCGGACAAAGCTTGTGTTTTCTCGCGCCCGTTTGCAACATTTCAACACTTTGTCAAGTCGCCGCTGCGCTCTGTCGGTCACCGAGGCAACCATCAATCCCATGGTAGAAATGTTGACCTTTTCCCCCATTATTTCCTTGTTGTGCACTCTTCTTTCATTGTGTTTCACTCTCTCTTAATTTCCAAGACCTTTTTTTTTTTTTAAAGGGACTTTCTTGTGGGAGGAATGTTTGTCACACTTTCTCCCATAAACCCTCCCCCCTCCTCTTCCCGAAGCGTTTTTGAGCATAAAGCAGCGGAGCATAGAGAGCAGGTCTGATCCTGTGAGGAATTCACTGGGAGAACGAGGACATTGTAACACGAGCCGGCGCCGTACCAACAGATTTGTTACTATACAGTAGCTTTCACAAGTATCTGCATTATTCTTGAGTATTTTTATTTCTGGAGATTTTTTTTTTTTTTTAAACTTTTACCATTTCACAAAATGATGGGGTGGGCCAGATCTGGCCCCCGCGGGGCTTGAGTTTGACACCTGTGCTGTTAAGGGCAAATAAAAATACCTTAATGTCTTTGACACACCACGGAGAAGAGTTTCATTAATGACCGTGCCAAATTTGAATGATTACAACCCCCCTCCCCCACAAAAAGACCAAGTGTTTAAAAATGAGGTTTCAATTTCCTGAAAAACCAAGACAGTCTCCACTCTCAGATGATTCAGATTCAGAAAACTTTATTGATGTAGGCATGTCCACTAAATATGCTGAAACCGCGCCCCACTCAACTGTTAACTGCCAATCAAATACAACTATGTCTAGCATCTGTCTGATGCCAACACATCCTCACATGTTTGAGCCACGAAAATCTATCCGCTTAAAGCATCCGGTGGCTGGAATATACCCCATACGGTTGTCGCAGAGACCTCCGTGCTGTGACGAGAGCCGCTAGTCGCAAACTAGCTGGTGAGCTAACAGGCTTCCTGACACAGTGGATGGGTGCTACTTACGCCATACAAGCTAGCTAGCAACGAGCTTTGGCTGGCTCCAAGTGTGGCTAATCATGTGACCGGAGTCATTTCTAACTCAGTAAGCATCGCCTCCATGGCGGCAAATATGCTATACGCTTCTGACAAGTTTCGCTCTCGCTAAGTGCAAACTGCTAAGCTAACCAATTGACATGTAATCGTGAAATAACGGAATAAAGTGCTGAGGTGATTGAGTAGACTTTTCACATCACGGTAAAGTGGAGACTACACAACTGTGAAGAGCAAAATAGGCAATATAAATCAATCTTATTCACGATGCTACATGACTAACAGGACCAAAACCGGAAGCTACACTCTGGAAAATAGAGTTTGCTGCTTGACACAATGTTGAATTGAAGAAATTACCACCGTTCATTTTATATATATTTAATAATTGTCCATTCGGTGTGCTGTTGTATTTTTATTGTTTAATATAACCTTTGCTTGAGGTCTCTGGGATTAACCTGCAAAAAATGGATCCTCATAATTGGAAGAAAGCATTAGCAAAACTGCCGCGCAAAGAAATAAATCAAAAAACGATTTCGAAATGATCTTCAAACGTGTACAAATGTATTTACAAACAAATCTCAGAATTCATTTACAAGGTCTTATTACCGATTGTGAGTACCGGTACTCTTTTGATCGCTGAGGAAAGATGAAAAAGACGCTGGCTCATGGTGGGAAGGCATCAGGCATTCACTTTGAACATTTTTCAAGCGCGTTGACAGGTGATTTACCGCCTAGTGTTTTGAAAATACAAAGTATCGCCTTTTGACGAACAGTGAAAACATCAGAGCAAAGTGGAAATGGCTAAATGGAAAAAAAATGGACAATACAAGCAGCCCAAACAGTCAGCCTGTATATATCCAGCCACCCCGCCCCGTCTCACCCTGACAGCTGTGCAGGGCTGCAAAATTCAGACAACACAGATCACTCGCAGAATGCCAAGCTTGCAGTATGTTGGGAACCCGCGGAAAACCACATACCGAGCATACTGGCCGCATTGAAAACGGCTCATGTGTCCTCTTTTCACTGGGAATAATCCGCAACCAGGAAATTGGGATGCGGGTTGAACCCCACCATGTATTCCCATTTCCTATGTCACACCGATGTGAGACTGGACGTCCTCTGTTTGAATTAAACATGCAAGTGGACATTTTACAGCGGCGGGCTGTGCGTTTTACTACCGGGGCCTTCAGTGAGGACTTCATCAAATTCTAATGCCACCATCACATTGCAATTATGGCAAACATCAATAGTATACAAAAGCGCAACGTAACAGCACGCAACCGTGCCACATTCATCACCTGGAGCTGTTCAGAATCAATATTTATTAATAACATGACAAAACCATAAAAGACTTAAATAAAATACCGTACATCATACTCACTAGACTCGGGCTGAATGATTTTGAAAAATCATCCAATAGTGCTTTAGCCCCCTCAATATTTATTAATAACATGACAAAACCATAAAAGATTTAAATAAAATACATCATACTCACCAGACTCGGGTTGAATGATTTTGAAAAATAATCCAATAGTGCTTTAGCCCCCCCCTCCCCACCCAGCTTTTCATGTTTCATGAAACAATATGTACACGTAGCCTGCACTTCTTAAGCACTGACCTTATCTAGACACTATATAAATCAATTAAAAAAGGAAAAATGTCAATTTGAATTTGATTACTTTTTCGGCCCTATTTGTGACCAATAACTTGTCACTGCAGTATTTACGGTAGAGATTTTTCTTGAATGACACTGAATATAACTGGTCAGTGGCTCAACTGGTGAGTCAAGGAGCGCAAGCAAAGACAAAAATCCAACAAAATTTAATTTCCCAATCGGATTTTTGAATTCAACGGAAGCCAAAGCTCTATTGTGTCAGGCTTGGACACTGGATTGACATTAGAAGTATGAACGTACTCGGAAATGCTCGTGCATTTTGGTGAC